GAACCATCTGCCGGCACCTGGATTTGGGACTCCCATCCTCCAGCTCATAGAGACAGCACGTTTCGATTGCTTAGTCTACCACGTAAGGTCCTGTGTGATGACAGCCACGGCAAGCTAATGCACTAGCATGGTCCTAGAAACACACGTCACATCCAAGAATCCACAACCAACCAGAGACATGCCCACAACCGCCTCAGGCTCCTTCTTGGGCCAAGTCGTTGAGGAATCAGAAGAGTTCTCCTCTCGTAGACTCTGAGTCTCCAGGGCCACTGGCACCAACCCCCAAGAACAGTATCAAGCAGAACTGTTAATAAGATAAAGACTAGGCAACACTGAAGAGACTCTTAGAGGGTCGTGGACTTAATGACACTTCGTGTTAAATGACCACGGAGACACCTTGCTTAAGAGGTAAGCAGACATAGTTGGTGTTCTGTCTCCCTGTTTATCAGGGTTGTGACAAAGGCACAATCTGTGGATGGAAGCTAAATACTCATCAAAAAATGATTTCATGAGTCTTGAGTGGTTGACGGGCTATTCACTTATTATTTTAATGCCTCTTGACCTCAGTCTTCCTATGAACACAGCCAAGGCAGGGTGGACCTAGATGGGTTCTTTCGGAATGTCTAGTGACATGCCTTTTAAAACAAAGCCCAGCCTGATCACGGGTGTGTGCTCCCGCTTCCAAGAAGAGGGGTTAGCCCAAAAAAGTCAGAAGCAGTGAGGATGGGTAAAGGGGTGTGTCCAAGAGGCATCGCTGTTCCATCTTGTGCTTGGTATTGTTTGTTTCCGGGCTCATGGGCTTTAGCAGCTTTTTCTTTCTGCTCCAGTCTTTGTCTCCTCTGGAGCACTTCTGAGCAGAACCCGGTTTCCAGGTAGTAGTTTGATCTGCTCTAGCTGAACGTCAGGGGACTGACTCACCAGTGTTTGCTTCTCCGCGTGCCTGCCTCTCAGCCCCCACTTGGCCAAGGTTCACGATGGGCTCCTCTTTCAGAGTTGCTTGACATCCGTCCTTTCATGTCTAAAATAATATTGTGATGTACGATTGATGTCTGACGGGGAAAACCAGGAAGCACAGAGATGAAGGTGGAAGAGCCCCCTACATTTCAGCCTCTCATGGAGAGAGTCACAATGTAAGCGCCCTTCAGCGTCTCCCGTCCCTTCTTCCTAGAGCTCATATTATTCTGAATGCCCTGAGCTCTGTGACTTAAAACCATACTAGAGTCTTCCATGCCAGCACATACATGTCTCCCCTTCTAAAAGATAGGTTGTTATTGATGTATCTGTGCCCGTCTGTATTTGTATGTGCATGCAGCTGAGTGTTCGAGGTGGCCGGACCTTCTAGTACTGGAGTTAGAGGCATTTGTGAGCTGGACTCTGGGCTCCTACGAGAGCTCCTAACCACAGAGTCCTTTCTCTAACCCCTCCCCTTCATTTTAAAGGGCTTATTATTCCACTGCGTAGACAGGCCCGGCTCTGTAGCTATTCTCCTCTACGTGGGTGCTGAGGTATGGTCCAAATGCTCTGTCTCTTATACTAACCCCACAATGGACATCAGTGTCAGTGTGTTTTGTGAACGGCATCTCCATAGAAGAGACGGCTTACATGGACCGAGGGCTGGCGGAGGCTGTGTGCAGTTTTAGTGTTTGTAAGTACTGTGAATTAGTTTATGAGCATGCTCCATAGTTCATATTCCAGACAGTCAAGTACACAAAAGCTCTGATGTGTGTGTGTGTGTGTGTGTATTCATACATATATATAGTGAAATTCTGATTTCCTAGAGACTGTTGTTTCAGTAATCTGATCCCCTATGGGAAGAACACTGTGGTTCCCTTTAGAACGTCCTCACTACTACCAGGATGGTTGCATTACCTCCATATTTCTTTTTTAACCAAAGTGGACTAGACTGTAATGCAGAAGCAGACAGCCCCAGCCCCAGCGGCTCAAAACAAGCTTTATCCTCACTCAGGGTCACAGATGTGGCTGTGCTCAATGAAGCCCTTGACTCCCATCTGAAGGAGTTGTCCCCCCTGTGCACCTCACTGTAGCACTGAGGGGAAAAGACGATATGGTCACCTGGAGGTGGTCGCCAATTCTCCCATCTGCATCGTTGGCTGGAGCAAGTCGCTGGGCTGTGCTCCCATCCAACAAAGAGGTGAAATTCCACTGTGGTCTTGAAGAGTGCCTATCTTCCAACAGTTATACGTCACCTCCCTAGGGGAGATAACCTGATTCTACCCAGTGACAGAACCTGCACGGACAAAGTCCAGGGTCTCTCGGAGGTGGCCGCTCACCTCAGGACATCAGGAGGAAAGATGTCTGCTGCCCCGGAGCCCAGCAGCCGCCTCATTCCCTGTCCACATGACTCACTCAGACATTCAAATGGATACAGAGTTGCCTGAAGTAGGCCTTCCTGAAGGCGTTGCTTTGCTCTGAACCGACCCACACCCTGAAGATTCCCGGAGTCCGGCCCAATGGAGACTGAAAAGCTGGGGCTGTGACATTTTGCTGAAATCAGTACTGTGACCGTCAGCTTTACTGACCTGGATGCTTGCAGTGGACATTGGGTAGAGACTGAGGAGGCGATGTGGAGGAAAGAAGTGACCGCCAATTAAAATATCTGCACGGGGACGTTAGGAAAGAGAGACCAACACACTTTGCCCGCATGAAGACATTTTCTGCTATGGTCCTAAAGAAGTTTTTTATTTCTTTGAAATTTAGTTAAAAGCACACACACAGTAAAAATAAGATTCATGGATTATAATCTTACAAAATAATCCTGAACAGAGTGTCACACTGACATAGCCTTCTGGTTATGATTTTCAAACCAAGCACTTTTTCAATTTTCCAACATGGATTCAAAAACATGGGCTTATCCCTTTCACTTCCTGTTTCTTTGGGATTTTAAATCCCCATGTAGCGGTAGTGGGGATCTATTTTATATGCTTCTGTAATCTTTTTATGTTTGACTCATCAAAATTCAGCCTTGTTAGTTATTTGCCATGGAAGAAGTTTTTATCTATACGTCAGTGAGAGTCTTAAACCTTTGGTTCAAGAAGCATACCTTCTGTTTTTCCAGGGTAAATTAACTAGAGCAACCAACAGTCTAAGTTTGATTTGAAACTATAAAACATTCAGAAGTCTGATTTCTCTTGCTGGGCCAGTCTAAGTCCTGAAAGATCCTATTGTTTCCGTAAGGTTATCACATCCTTGTCCTTGCGTGGGCTGGGCCTCCACCCCGCTGATGCCGGGTTGGTCTAACTGTAACCTTTGCTGTTTTGTTTTTTTTTTTTTTTTCCAATCAGTTCCACACTTCGACTTCTCTGCGCTTGGCCCACACAGTGGTTTTTATTATAGGTATGACTTACTGGAAAGCCACCCTCAAATATGAAAAGGCCAGGTCTGGCTTCTGAGAACCCTTTCATCCCTCTGGTCTTGAAAGCGTTTTTCTGTCAGACTTCAGTAAGCAAGTTGGATTTGGAGTCCCCCGGGAAGGTTATGAAGCCGGATAAGAAGCGGAGAAGACAGAGTTCAATGTTATTTCTCAAGCCCCTCCTTAGGGAAGCAATAACATATTACTCCTTTTTGAATTCTAGTCTCGGGGAACCCTCGCTCAAAACTTAAATGACTTACTTCACAAGATATGAAATGTTCGCCACACTCCGAGTTGAATCGTTCCAAGTTACCAATTAATTTTCCTCTGAATTCAATGAGCAACAGAATGGTGTTTGTCCTTGACATGCAGGGCAGAAGCTAGCTTTGCCCTACGCAACATGGGGGGGGGGCAGACTAGGTACAAACTCTTGCTTTGCTTACTAGCAGAAAACTTGGGCGAGTTAATTAACCTTTTTGTCTCCTTTCTTTATTTGCAAAAAGGCGGACAAAAAACCCCACACCTGCCCGATGAGATTATCTGAAGGATGAAATCAGATACTAAAGCACTCACTCGAGTTAATTTTTAGACTCAGCAATCCAGCCTTATGAGGCAGAGGAACACTCCCAGTCAGGTAACAAAACGCATTCCTTCCCTTTAACTCTTCCTTGTAACCAGGGTGGGCATTGTCAGCTGGGGTATGATGTATTGTTGATCGCTACCTGCTAGAAATGTAACTGACTAGACAGATCTTTGTTAAAAAAAAAAAAAAAAAAAAAAAAGGCTCCGAGATCCGTGAAGCCGCTGGAGAAAAGGCGGCTAGGAAGTTACCCTTCAAAAATAAACCTGAGAGCAGCCTGCATTTCCCTCGGCTGCCTCTGGAAGAGGTGTAGATCTAAAGTGCGTCCATCATGAATAATGATCGCCTTAACTCTCCCGACTACTGCGCTCCCAGGCAGAAACACCACCGGCCGATGATGCCACGGGCGTCTCAGGGCAGCTCGGTGGGTGACCATGCACGCTTAGAACCCCGCGTGAGACCCGCAGCGAAGGCGAGGGGCCAGAACCCTTGGGCTTAGTCGGGTTTCAGAGGTCGGGTTGAGCTCCAGCGCTGCTAAGGGGGCCTGATGTTCCCCGGCATTTCCGAATAAGCTATCTTTGTTTACATTTTGAGCTTGGCTCAGCCCCAGAAAGCATTACTACCTTCTACCGGGAGAAGCATCTCGCCTTTGCAGAGGGTGCTGGGGCAGCAAAGTTCATTTTCCTGGGTAGGGGAAAAAAAAAAAAACCGATTCTCTTGCTCCTCGGGCGGGTAGTGACCCGAGTGTCTGATCACAGTGGGCAGTTTTCATGGGAGGTGGAGGTTTGGAGGGAAAAGGGGTGGAGGTTGGTGCGGGGCAACCCAGCGAAGTGCGGAAGCTGTATAGGGGATTCTTCTAGAAAGTAGGGTGGGAAAGGAGCTAGGGAGGGCGGGTGGAGGGACGGGATCTGTGTCAGAACGTGCGTGTGAGCGGATACAAAACCCAGGGAGGCGTGATCGGCGGCGGCGTGTGTGCAAGCCGGAGCGAGGGGCGCTGGCGGGGTGTGTGCTCCTGGTGAGTGACACGGAGGGGCGGGCGGCCGCCAGGCGGGGGCGGCTGCGCGGGCGGGAGTGTCCCTGAGTGGGGGCTGGCGGCGCGGAGTTGAGGCAGTGAAGGAATCCAGCGAGAGGGCCCCGCCGAGCGGCCCTGCCGCGGCTCTCGCTCCGGGGCTCGCCCTTCGCGCTGCAGGGGCCACCAGCGCCGCGCCCCGGCCCGGGACAGAGCACCCGAGGTAAGCCGGGGTCCCCAGGACGCGGGATGCGGCGGGGCCTGCGCGGCCGGGGTGGAGGTGGTCGGTCGGCCGTGCACTCCGCAGCCCGGACTCCCGGAGGCCGCCTCCCGGGGCGCTGGGTGTGGCCCGTGCACGGCGGACCGGACGCGGAGGTCGCCGTCCTTGCTTTTCCCGGGCGGGCAGGCGTGCGGCAGGCAGCTGAATGTGGGCTCGGCCGGCGCTGCTCCGCGCGGGCGCCCCCCTGCGCTCCAGCTCCGCGCTGCCGAGCTGCCCGGCCGGAACGGGGCCCGCAGGTCCCGGCACCCCGCACCCCACGGTGCCGGCGGGATCGGGTCCTCAGCGTCCGCGTGCACGCGGCGAGGGCGCGCGGGGCAGGCGGCGGGAGCGGGCGCCGGGGCCGCGGGACGAAACGTTGTCCTCGCACCGCCGCTGGGCGGATAAACCCGGGAGCCCGCAGGCAGACCCGACCGAGGGTCGTTTCCGAGGTGCGGAAACAACTTGACTTTTGCGTGTCTGGAATATCAGCCTAGCTTCTTGCTCAAGGCTGGGATGTCTGCGTTTATTGCGGACACTGGGGCTAAGGACCCAGCCTTTACCTGGACCGGTATGCAACGGAAGCCTCCCATCCTTTTCTTTCCTCCCCATCCTGGCGAGTGGAGGCTTCCAGTGCGCAGTGGTGTTTATGAACTTGATGAGATTTCAGCTCCCAGCAGTCCTGGTTTTAAGCAGGTGCCAAGGTTGTGGAGACCCGACACTTTCAATTAAAGATCCTTTCTGTACAGCGTTTTGCTTTGAGTGCTCTGCAGTCTCTCTGTAGCTTGAGGCTGGTGAGGACCCTTGAACTTCCAGCACAGAGCCTTGCTTCCCTTTCATAAACCATGATGGTATTATTTCACTTGCTTATTTAAGACACTCAAGTATCAGCCGCCCTTGCCACCCCGCAGATTTTAAGGGGATGGGGAGGGAGAAAAAAAAAAAAGAAACACGGAAATCTTAGACTCTGCAGAGAAAGAGTAAGGTCCTGTGGTCTTTATGTCGTCATTCTGTTTTGCTTTAGAGGAACGTTTCGTTGCTACTCAGACTCTGTTTTCCAGAGAGTACGCAGATGTGCAATATGGCAGGGAAAAGAAAGGACAGGAAGTCAGAAATAGAAAAGACTATTCAAGTAGTAAAACCAATTATTTTGAAAGAACTCTTTTTTAAAAAAAAAGTTGCTTTCTGGATAAAATATTTTATGAGCCTTATGAAATTGTGTTACTTAAGCAGAAAGCAATGTGCTGTGTGTGTGGATGGGGGACGATCTTATCAAAGTAACTGGAGTGCTGTAAAAAAAATCTGTATCTGGTGTTTGCTGTTTCTTTTTTATTATTATTATTTTAACCAAGAAAAAAATCAACTTTAAGAATGACTTTCTATTTGGACAAGGCAAATACTACTTCAGTCTCTAATTAGAGTTTTGAAATAAACTCAAGCTGGGTTAAACCCTTTTTGTGTGGAGCAACGGAACACAAAACATGTCAGATTTTGTGTGGCTTTGCGCGCGCGCACACACACACGACTTGCTCCAAAAAGATAATTTGCATAAAAATACAATCACTTGAATGCAGAGATTATTTAAGAGATTAAGGGGGAAATGCTGAATATCTGAGAGTGTTAATTGGCAAATTTTGTTCTTTCATCTCTGAAATAGTAAATCATTTCTCAGGAATCGGTTTAGTTAATGAGCTGGTTTAGGCAGGCAAAACGAGCAGGGTTTCTTTGGTGTTCATTTTGTTGTGGGGAGCACCCCACAGAAGTCTTCAGTTGCTTACACATATCAAGGGGCCATTGTACAAAGACGAATCTCCTGACCCCAGAAGGTACCTCACCATGTCAACAGTGAACAGAGAAACAAATACTTAAGCCATATCATGGTGGTCTGTGAAGTAACACTGCCAAGTAGGTGGCCTCCACATGGAAATGTCCCTTAAGACTTAGAAATTCCTCGGCTTTAGTCCTTTAAAAGAAAAAGGAAATCAGGCTGAGTGGTGATGGCGCACTCCTTTAATCCCAGCACTCGGGAGGCAGAGGCAGGCTGATCTCTGAGTTCGAGGCCAGCCTGGTCTACAGAGCGAGTTCCAGGACAGCCAGGACTGTTCCAGAGAAACCCAGTCTTGAAACCAGAAGTCAGTTTCTTAGTCTGCAGAGGATAGCGCCCTTGTTAACAGTGGGCTTTTGTTCGTGGTTGTTGTTTCAGAAGGGCAAAGGCAGTCCTGAGGACTTTTACACAGCTACAATCGACATCTTAAGACATAAGTCAGGAGAAGAAGCTTTAGCTCCAGTTTTGATGACTGGAAACGTAGAGATTGCTTAGGGCGCGATTCAGGCTGCTCCCGCCCCTTCTTACTATATCGCGAGAGTCCATCTTACGTGTGGGAGAGGTACTGCTCGGTCATAGCTCCTCAGTCCTGCGTCCCTGGTGACGTCTGTGGTGCCGTCACCATCCTTGACGATGACAATTCAATCTGCGGTGTTTCTACGGTGTGTGCACAGGAGAGTGGCTCCCGTAGCACGGCACAGGGTGTAAGGGCATACACCATGCAGTCAGACGTCAGCGATTGCTTGTCGATCTCTGAATGGTTGAACGCGATTCGCCTCATCAGTTGCTCCTACCGCTGCTGTGTGTCCTTCAAGTGGAATCGCTCATTAAAATGGGGTTTTCATTATACAGTTAAAGAAACGGTAAACACTGTAGGAGAAAAGCAAACCTCGCTTCCCCCTTTCCTCTTTTGAAGTCGGCTGTTATGAAGGTGTTATTTCCTTGATACATCAAAATGGCTAATTTGCAGTTATAAAGACGGATAGATAAAGAGGCCATATGTGTCGATTTTTCTGCTGAGGTTTGTTTGTTCGTAGTCGTCAGGGTTAGGGCTCCCTCAGTACCGCAGCGGGGGAAACAATCTGTGAAGGTGTGTGTCTATAGAACCTAGCATTTCCATGATACTGGATTATTATTGGATAGCTTCTACGTTCATTTTCATTTTCTAATAAAGACTTCTACAGTAGCCTCTAGCCTTCTAGCATAACAGATCTTTTGCTGTATTTGGGACGGATCCTTTCCGGTTTCTCTGCTTGCTTAAAAGATGTTTTATGATGGTTGTCCTATCCTCAGGCTAGAGACCTGATGACCTTTCCTTACAGCTGCTACTGAACTTGTACCTTAGGGAATAAAAGTTCCTTCTGTGTTTTTTTTTTTTTTCTTTTAATACTTTGTGGTTTCTCCGGATCACCTGAGCTAAGATTGCTTCCATCTGTTTTTCTAACTAGGGAACGGCATCAGATAGTGTTAACTTTTTCTGGTGACAATTTCTCCCAGAGACTGCCCTAGATGGCCTTATCTTTCTTCCGTCTCCCTTGGAGTCAGGGATTTTTTCAGCCCTCCCCACCTTCACCTCTTTGCCGTTCCCCATCCCGTCTGCCACACCAGCATCTTGCAAACACGCATCTCCTGAGAGCGCCTCTCCAAGCATTTCCCACAGAAAGCCTGGCACCTGTGAGCTCAGGCTTCCTCCATCAGGAGCCACTGCCAATCTCAATGCAGCGTGGTCCCCAGATGAGGATGGTCTGGCTTAAGATTTTGCAGCCTTATGTGGTGAAAATGTGGGGTGCGTTCAGCAGAAACCATACTTTGAATTTTCGTCCTTGCCTAAGGGTAGGGATGGACAATGTGATATTCTCTTACGATGCTGAGTCGTGGCCATGAGCTACAGTTCACTATGACGTCAGGAGGAGAAACAACCGATGCTCTAACAGGTGTCTAACCTGCGACCAGTAGACCACGTGTGGTACTGTAGAGCCACGAATGGGGGCCAACACAGAATTGTAACTTCCTTAAAACATTATGAGATTTCTTGGTTTGCAATATTTTTTCTTGTAACTTGCTTGCAGGGTTCTGTAGCATGAACACTGTAGGTGGCCGCATTCTCTTGCAAAGTCAAAAGATCATCACCTCTTCTTATGTTGCTAGTGGTTTTAGATGTTGGTACCCAATATGTTGCGTAAATTAAACACTTGATTATAAAATAGTGCCCCTGTCAGATGCTCTTTGTCCACCAATGAGCTAATAGCAGTGTCCTGTGTGTGTTTAAGGTGTAATAGGGTGGGCTCTGATGTTCAGCAGGTTAGGGGATACAGTTTTAGCTCTCTGTGGGTTGACTGGGAACCAAAGTAAGCCAAGGAAGACCTAGAGTTCAGACACTTTCCAGTCTTCCTGCTCTTGGTTGGCATCAGGTCAACCTCCCATCATGGTTTTCATGTGTTTTATACTCTTGTCCAAATTTAACCAAACGGTTTGATTTCCTGCTTCTTCCAAACATGACCTCTTTCCTTTGCTTGGCTCCTTCTGCCATGCATTTTCATTTCATCCCCTTTCTCCGTGCCCTGCTCTTTCTAACGCATTGTCTGCTTTTCTCCGACCCAACCCAACCCATCTTCAAAGCCAAACCCTGGTCATGCTGCCTCTGTTGATCGCTACTTTTGCCCCTCTGTCTGCATCCTCCTTCAGTTTAGACCCTTGCTTAGATTTCTCCTACACTGTTGCTTCTTGCTTTCCCAGGGGCTTTGTGAGCTTCTTGAAGGCATCAATATACCTTCAGTGTTCAACAGCTGCAAACCGGTAGTCCTATCTAGTGTCTGATAAATGCACCCGCAGAAATACTAAGCTAGAAGGGTCCATTCTTCAAGGATGGGCTTTGAGAGCATCTCAGCCTTGCTCGCTGGTTTATGTTGAGGGTCTGACTCGCAGCCTGGCTTTTGGTCATGACCTCAATAAACGTGTGTTAACACAGAAATTGGTGTTGATGTTGGATGAAAGGGACAGATGTTGGACAGAGGCATCTGTCAGGGAGCCTTTCTCAGCGTTCTTGGGTGGCTCTAATCAGTCTCTCCCTTCATCAGCTGTGGGGATTCTGAGGCGGGGGCATTCTCCCGAGTTGAGATAACGACCAACCGAGTCTGGTGGT